ATTTACTTTCAGTGCCATCCCAAAGTTCATTTAGCAAGTTTCACTTTTTTTCTTTCACTCCTAGTATACTTTTGAATGGCCAATATTTGAACTCATTCTTTTTTTTCTTACGTTGCATCTATCCTGCTATTAATGCCTTCCATCAACATTTAAATTTGAAAATTCTGTGTTATCCAGCTCAAGAATTTTGGCTGGATTTTTTTTAAAAATTGGATTTATCTCTTTGGTCCATTTATCTATTTGTGTATGGAAATATTTCTCTGAGTTTTCTTCAAGTTCATTGAGTTTCCTTAAAACAGACGTCCTAAGGGTCCCACCATGCTAATTCACCTCATTGAGAAGTAGGTGAGTCATGAAAATACTAGATACTGACTGGCAGGTGATAGTACCTGGCTATTGAAGGATCAGATATTTATTCCACTCTTCCTAAACTTTGTCTGGCTTCCCCAAAATTCTAAGCAGGCTGTTTGCTTTCTTTGCTCTTTATTTGCTTTGACAATTTCAGCACTAGATGATCCCCCTGACTGGGTTTGCAAGGAATCTGCTATTGGTGTGTTATCACTTTTTCCACTCTAGAGGACAATCCAAGCCCTGGCTTGTCCCAAATACTCTTGCTGGTTTATTGTTCGGAAAGAAATAGGAGAGTACCTAAAAAGAGTAGTCTGTTCCTACAAGCTTCTTTCTTTCCGGCCTATGGCTCAGACACTGTAGGATTCTGTTTCTTGGTAAAATCTCCATGGATTTGTTATAAAGTAAAAAATCTAAATAATTCTCTATATTAACTTGCTCCTCTATAGCTTTTCTATCTGTCTGTCTGTCTATCTATCTATCTATCTATCTATCATCTATCTATCACCTCTGAAGTGTGGGTTGAGATAGTAACAATGGCCTGTTACTTCTCAAACACCTAAAAGCTACTTTTGCTGAAAGCCGTGACTCTTCAGCCAGACCTGCCACTGTCTAGTGGAGGACTGGAGTTGGAGGACTGCTTCATATTGGACCTGATTCTTTCATTTCTTTAGCCTTTGGGATAGATTTCTGCTCAGCTTTGCATGTGAACATGTCAGTCATTTAAAAAACACATTGTCTAGAAATATAATACAAGCCTAACTTGACTAGACTTGCCTAATCTCTCTCTTGTTTCTTTAAGGGTAATTGTACCTAAGGACTTAATAGCTGTCATGATTTAGAAACAAAATCAAAAAACACCAGACCAAAGAGGGAACAAAAAAGATAGGGCTCTCAGGTTCCTGGAAGATCTTTGCCAAAACCCAGAAAAGATCATTGTTCTTACCCTATACCCATGGCTCCTCAACTCCCTGAGTTTAAGAAGGTAATTGATTTGCAAGCATAGCTCCCATTTCTTCTACTGAATGAAGTCTTTCTTTCCCAATGCTTATTCTTCAGGCATCTATTTCTTTTCAGGAGATGAGATTTCAAACCTGCGTTTGAAACCTGCTGCTCTAGGCTGTCTGCTTTTAAGATGGACTCCTGGTCCATGATGACTTCAACCAATCACAGGTGATGCTAGTTAAAATAGAAGTTCCATACAATGGGGCCATATAAGCACTTGTCTTCTCTTGACACTGGAGATGTTCCAGACTCACTTCTGCCCAGATAGGCCTGAGAGTGAGACTTTGAAGACCTGCCTGGCACTGAGTTTCAGGGAAAAATCCCTACTGAAAATGCTTACTACCCTATCTATTCTCATCAGTGTCTCCCATAACACCTGACTAATAAAGTATTGGTGAAGGGAGTCTCTTGGTTACCCAGGCTAATGCCAAGCTGAGTCACACCCAAATCTCACAGTCACAAGTGTCGGTATAGTTTTGGGGGTGCTTGAGACCCAGGATGTAGTTAGCAGTGATGTTAGCCAGCCACAGTTCTTTCCCACTGGGACAGAGATTTCTACCACTAGGTAGAAATCTACCACTAGGCAGTTCTAGAGCCCAGTCTACAGCACTGGCCTGGCAATCACTAAGATGCTCAAGGCTATGGGATGAGTAGTGGCACATTCTCTCACGCCCCAAGGCTGAGGCTAAGGCTGAGTGGTATCTGAGTCGCAGAGCCTCGGGGGCCTTGGAGTCTCAACACCAGGGCAATGTACCTCAGGCCCTTTCTAAGGCTAGAACTGATGTGGCCAAAAATGGACATCTGTCTCAGAGGCTCTGCCTGAAGCTGAAACTGGTTTAAAAATACTGTTCAAAAGATCTGGAAAAGGAATAGGGGCTTCAGTTAATAATTTACTAGGTGCTTCATTTACTTGCCACTGAGCTCCAACGCATTGCCCTGTGCTGCCTTTCATGTTCTGCTCTCTGCTCTCCCCAGAGGCAGAAAATTAGATGGAGGCAATCTCTTTCTTGCTGGTCAGCATAGTCCAGGCACTCAGTTTGCTGGTCTTGGCTTGGTGGTAAGGATCATAGGACTCTGCCCAGCGGTGGATTTCACAATGACAAGTGTGGACTTAATTCTTAATTCTTCAAGCAGGAAGTTATCTGTGACATCTGTCCAGACTGGGATGCTTGGGTTTAGGGGAGAAGTGACACAGATTACTGATGTTCTTGCCTTCTGCAATGCATGTTTTCATTGCCTCATACGAAAGCAGACATTCCATTGTTGCTCACCCGATTTCTTTAGCTCTTCGAGGATGGTTTATATGAATAGCTGCTCATTACGGAGTGCCTATGGGAAGAGATCCAGGAAGGACTGTTTTTTTGTTGTTGTTTTATTTGTCAGTCCTGCTGCTTGAACTCAGGACCAGCAAACTGTCTCTGAGCTTCTTTTGCTCAAGGCTAGCACTCTACCCCTTTAGCCATAGCTCCACTTCTGGATTTTTCTGTTTATATGGTACTGAGGAATCAAACCCAGGGCTTCATGCATGCTAGGCAAGCACTCTACCACTAAGCCACATTCCCAGCCCAGGAAGGACTGTTCTTTGAAAAAAAAACCCACAAAACTATATTTTTATTACCTTTAAGTAGTTGTACACAGGGCTTATTATTGAATATATCAGTTTGTGAGTACAATGCATCCCTTCTCCCCAATCCTTCCCAACCCTGCCCATCCCTTAGGTTTTCTATTGTCATAAGACTTGCACTGAATAGCCTATGACTACCGATGGAGGAGCTTAGATGTCATCTCGCTCTGTCATTATTTTATGAGTGTTATTTTTTCTGCCATTTAGAAAGTGTTACTTACAAGGTTGAGATTTTCAGAGGAGAGTGGATTTGATCAAAGGCTAGACATTTTAAATTACAAGTCAAGTTTTCTAAAGGCCTCATGTTCTACAAGCTCATGGTATTTTTGCTATTAACAAATTATATTTTCATAGCACATAGAATGTGGGCAAGTTGACTTTAAAACAGAGCCATATTACTGCCATCAGGCATGCAAGGGATCATTCTAGTCACTTCACCTTTTCTATTACTGCAAAAACATAAAACACCTAATTCCTTTGTCCCTGTAAAATAAGCCATTTAAATTCTTCCAGAAAGCCCTATTGACTTCTTTATTTGTTGACTCATTCATTCACTTCCTTTCATTTTATTTCAAGCAGTCTTGGTTTTGTTCCACTACATTAAACCAAAGAAAAACTTTAGGAGCAAGTCATATCAGTGAATTTCCAGTGTTCAGTAGAGGTTACAACCACCACAAGAATCATGGTTCCTTTCCACCCCTCTACTTGCAGCTCCCGACTCCTCCACTCACTGACAATCATGCCACTTACAACCTCCACCCCCACCTCCACCCATCACACACCACCCAGCCTCACATCCCACCCAACCTACCACTCATACACCCTCTTACTCTTCACCCCACACTCTCACACTCCCTGGGTCCTGAGCTGCTGGTGGGTAAGGAGCTTGGATAGAATATGACTTGGACAGAATAGAAACTATGAAAAATAAATAGATCAGAAATCAATACCCTATCTATTGCTGCTTTTCTCTGTAACATGTAGAAAGGAACAGTTCATAACCTGAAAAGACTAACCTGAGGTAGATTAGAGGTTGGGGCAGGCAGGGATGTTTTTCCTGTGTAGCCAGGATTTTTGGTAAATGTTTGAAAGGTGAATGGACAAACAGATGAATTATTAGAGCAAGGGACTGTGGAGAGATTGGGATGGAATGGGTTAATTTACTGTTAGAGTGTTCTGCCAAAATATCTCTGTTTTGAAACATGGTAATTTTTCTGACCCTGGGTCATGTGTGATAGGAGGTAAGGCCATTTGGCAGGACTATTACAAAGCTAATTTGGGCATCAGAAGGGGATAAGATAAAGTGTAAGGTCACTTCTAAACTTGACAGCCTGTAACTGTCAGAAACACCAGCCCGGGGCTGGGAAGGTAGCTCAGTGGTAGAGCACTTGCCTTGCATGCATGAGGCCCTGGGTTCGATTCCTCAGCACCATATAAGCAAAAAGGAAAAAAAGCCGGAAGTGGTGCTGTGGCTCAAGTGGTAGAGCGCTAACCTTGAGCTGAAGAGCTGAGGGACAGCGCCCAGGCCCAGAGTTCAAGCCCCAGAGCCGGACCAAAAAAAAAAAAAAAAAAAAGAAAAAGAAAAAGAAAAAGAACCACCAGCCCTAGGAAGTTGGACTGATATTAGAGAGGTATCTGAATTTGCAGCTGAACAGCTTTAGGACTTCGAGATGCCCTAAAATTTTTAGTTTTGTTATGATAACCCCATGCCAAAGCTTCACCCTGCCAAAGGTGCCTGGCTGCTGATGCTTGTCTTTGGGGAGCTCACAGGGCATTGAGGTTAGAGTCCCACAAGCAGAAGCCCTTATATAAGAAGTTGTGAGACCAGTTTGTGGTCATCTGTAATTTGAGATTTGGGTTCAGATAAAAGAGAGTAAACTCTGGGTAGGCATGGCTTGTAGCTCCTAGCTCTGAAGGACTCTCAAGAAGCTCTTTGGAAGAGAGATGGCTTAAAAAAATAACTTCAGATTATGCAATTAGGCTTGGTGGGCGGGATTTGTGGGTGTGTGCGTGGGCAAGACTCCAGCTCTGAGGCCACTGGATCAGTGCCTTCCTTTGGAGCAGCAGAGAGCTAACTGGTTTTAGTGCTGTGATCCTTCCATGATGTGGCTCTGTGCTCTGGTCCTGGCTTCTCTTACTGCTTGTGCAGCTTGGGGTGAGTTCCTCTGGAGTTTAAATATTGGGGGTGCAAATGTGGAGATTCTGGTCATGAGCAAAGGTGGATAGTGATGTGGACTGAGTGAGGCCATATAGAACTAGTTTGCAGCCTTGTTCTCTTTCTGGATCAGGATATGCACTGAGAGCAGTTGAACCCAGGCAGGCCCAGCGAAAGCGCAGAGCAGGATGAATGCCAGCAGACCCTAAGCTGCAGCTATCTGGTGTTGCTCAAGGAACTAAAATAACCTCATGTCTCAATAAGAGGAATTAAGAAAACTCATTGTATTCTAGACAGATCTGGTTACAGAGGATTCACAGAAAAAGAAAAGCATTCACTTAAGAGCCAGAGTTAGAGTGGCAGGGGTCTGAATACCAGCTCAGCATTTCCCAGCTGATGTGCTAGGCCAAGGTACCTGTTTTTCCTTGTCTGGGCTACTCTATCGCTAATATAGGCATGAGAGTAATTCTTTCCTTCCTGGGCTGCAGAGAGGCTGAAATGAAATGTTGTATCTATAGTATTTAAGATGGTAATTGGTATAGAGGAGGAGGTAAGGAGAAAGGGTAAATATGGCACTCGGTTTAAAATGTAGTTTATTAATAGAAAGTCCGAACAAAGCTGTTGGTCACTGCAAATAGGGTTTGTTATTCAGTTCCCAAGAGGAGGAGGCAAAGCTTGACTAGGGTGGGGCCCAACACAAGCACCAGAGCAGTCAGGAGGCTGAGGCAGAGAGGAGCTGAAGAAAGAGCCTTTGCTGTGTTAAGCCTGGAAGGCAGCAAAGAGGAGGTAAGATGAGCTGGCACAGGGCTGGTCAGGTAAAGTTACTGCAGGGCTTCGAGACATAATAGCAGTCTCTGGTTGTCTGTTACCTGGCTCCAGGTAATTAAGGCAGGTGGACTATGGCCTAGGTTGTAAAAGCCTGGTAAATGGTGTGAGATCTGGATTGGTTGGGTCCTGGGAGTGATGATTCCCCCAAATCAGTAAACTATTTCAGGTAAAAGTATCAAATCACTTAGAATCTATGGTTATTACAGAGGTTCAGTGGGGGACCTCCACATACACCTGTGGCAAATTATAGCAGAAGTAATCGAGACTCACGGGGAAATGTGCTTGCTTAGGGTTGCCTGGGAAATTGTGCCTTGGTTTTCCTCTGCCTCCTGAGTCCAGAGAAGCCAGTATCAGCTCTCTGCCAGTCTAGGCCTCATTTGGATTTATTTTCTCTCTGGTCACATGACACTGGGGGGAGGCCTGGCAGAGTGTGAGGGAGCCCCAAATTTTGAGCAGAACACTGATCTATTGCTGATTACCCCAGCAATGCCACCCCATTTCTAGCTTTAGGAAGTTCATGTTGGCAGCTTCCAAATCCTTAGTTTGTTCATATGTTTAGCAGGAGATTCCACCATTAATGGGAAGGAACTGGGATGCACAATACATGCCTGATATGTAAACATTCCATTTTATATATCTGGTCACTTCTTCATTCCTATTTATGCCTCCCACGGTGCCCAAACACTTTCCCACCACTTCTACCCACTTAATGTGGGTGGAAGGTCATCACTGAGCTAATTCAGGATGCACTTAGCAAGTTCACCTCTCATTGTTAATCACTCTTGCCACGCACCCCCTTCCCTTCCCCCTGGGTTCATGGTGCTGTGCTCGTCTTCCGACACCAGTCTGGTGGGTGTTTTTAGCCTCATTGGTGCCATTTCTTGGTTTTAGTTTCAGCTCTTTCTCTCCCCTCATACTTACTCCTATAGGGAAGTCACCCACATGCATGGTGTGTACCCTCATCCTAAGTGGGTGATTCCCTGCCCCCTCACAGCCTCCTCCAGTCACTCAGGTCCTGTGGCATCTGCCTACCTGCATAGCTCACTGTCTTCCCAACCATCCCTGTCTTCCCCAGAGCTACATCACTCATACTTTTCAGTCTTCTTCCTCTTCCACTGCCACCACACCTGGCCAAGGATCAAGTCATCTTTCAAAATTCCTAATATGCTTCTCCTTATTTTGTCATCATGTAAAAAGGTTCAGTGTTCAAGAAATCAATCTAGAAATTCACACAAAAAAGAAAAGCAACCTGTAAAGCCACTATGATGAATAAATATGCTGCCCAGGGTTTATGTCTCAGTGCTGTGGTCACAATTAGCAAGGCTACAGGGAAAGCAGCCCTAGACTTGCTCTGAATATGAGGCAGCATTATAGTTTTGTAACCTGGCATTCTGTAAAGAGTTTCTAGTGTTGTTGGCTATTCTTGATACACATGTGCTCCCCAAATTATCTTGAGGTCAAGTCTGCTATACTCATAATCTTGAAGAAGAACACTGGTAAGACAAAAATGTCCCACATTATATATCTGCTTGCCTAAGTTTCCCAGAAAGTTAATTTTAATGTTAGTTGTAGGACTTAGTAACAACCACAAAAGCAACTTAAATACCCATAGTTTGGAGCTATGGATACTATGAGACATAGTTTAATTGACTGTTGTCCTGTTAGACCCTATCAGGGATTTTCTTTTTTTTTTCCTAGCCACGTGCTTTGAGAGAGACGCTGACATATTGTCTATATCCAAAGGGGAGCATTGGAAAGGTGACAGAGTAGGAAGCATGCTCTATGAGGGATACTGTGACAGCTTGATGATGTTGACGCTAGACAAGAGAGGGGCCCAGGGGTAGCCATGACCAAGTGTGTAAAAGCCTTGCGTTCGAGGCCTCCCTGCTCTGCACCTGCTCACCCAGGATTAACCTCTACTCCCCACGGTCTCCACCTGATGGGATACAGAGCCCACTTGACCTTCCCAGCCAGGTCTTGTGCTTTCCTGACTGAACCTTTGAGGTTCTTTTTTCTCTGCTACATCCTCTCTCCCATCCATCTTCCCTTGTTCTTCCCTTCCCCTGCTGCTAGTCCCAGCTTCTCCACGGACACAGCTCTCAGAAGGTCAGCCCCACATCCGATTCCTGTTACACCTTCCTGGTTCCTTTCCCAGGACACAAGCTCTTTCTTCCCAGCCTGAGGTTAGGTGGGAATTGTGGCTCTGGTTCCTACCAGTTCAGCCCTCCTGAGAACAGGGGCCACTTCCTTCCTGCTCTCACTGAGCATGCAGCTTAGCACCAGTTCCAGAAGCTTCTCAAGGGGAAACTAAGATACTTCATCCTAGAATCTCTTTTTATTCAGTTATTCCTGACCTGATGTTTCTCTTCTAATTCCATTTAGTTCTTCCACCAGCCTTCTGTTAAGAAGGATGGTTTTCCTCATACCAAACTTGGTTCATTCAACTGTGGCCTAGATGACTGAAGTAACTTACTAAAAGTCAAGTCTACCTCTTGCTTGTAAATCGACCTAATTTTCTCTCCACCAGGGCACCCATCCTTGCCGCCTGTGGTGAACACCTTGCAAGGCAAAGTCCTAGGGAAGTACGTCAGCTTACAGGGGTTTGCGCAGCCTGTGGCCGTCTTCCTGGGAGTCCCATTTGCCAAGCCCCCTCTTGGATCCTTGAGGTTTGCTCCACCACAGCCTGCAGAGCCATGGAGCTTCGTGAAGAACACCACCTCCTATCCTCCTATGTAAGTTCACACAGTGACCCTGTGCAGCTCAGTGGGGATGTTTGTCTCAGAGTGATGCAGGAAGGAGTCAAGACAATCCCAACTGGGTGCATTTTGTTCTGGAATCCTCAAGAGCATTGCAGAACTTTGAAATTCCCAGAGCTCTCACAGCTTTCCCAGATCCTCTACTGAGCACACATCTTTTGAATACACTGTGGCCCATAAATGTTCTGGGTTCTAAAAAGGCATTAGAGAAGACAAAAGTTCCAGAACTTGTATTATAGTACAGAGAAAGAGAGGGAAGGGAGGGAAGGGAGGGAAGGGAAGGAAGGAGGGAGGAGGAGAGAGAGGAGAGATAAATGTTAGTGAATATTGAAAAAAAACTAATAAAGCAATTTCCAAGTATAGTAGGTGATGACAAGTGCTTTGGAAATACACAGTGGTTCAAGTAAGGGAGATGAAAAATAAGATATTGTCTATTCTCATTTTGAACCTTGGAATGGCAAGTGACTGGGGTGGGAAAGGGAAAGAGGAGAGAAGAGGCTTGTGTAAGAAGTATTATGGGGGGGGGTTGAATTAGCAAGACCTCTATCTCAAGTGTGCCTAGCTACCAAGTTAATGTTCAGCAATGGTTAATATACCCTTATCACCCTGACCAACTGGGTGAAAAGACCATATGTTCCAGAGGCTTCACAGCCACTACAGATTCCCTCATCTAACATCCCCCTACATCTAACATCATTCCCCTCCTCAATCTGGTGCTTCTGAGGAAGTCCAGGATCTTTCTTCTGGCTTTCTTCTCTTTCTTTTCCTTAGAAGATGGTATTTGCCATTTTTATAACATGATTGCCAATGTAATATAATATTGCAGGAAAGTTAGGGAAATGCAGAGAAACAAAGATAAGAAATGTGTGACTATGAGCAATTCAAACTATCCAGAGAAAGTTGCTTTTGATGAACATTTGCAGCATTTTTTTGCCAGTCTTTAATATGCTGTATATTTTCCTCTATGAAAAAAGATCATAAATACAGAGAGCTTAGATAGGGCTGCCCGGCTCATTTATGACATTGACATCATTCTGTGATTAAATATAACAGCCTAAGATCCCATAGCTATATTAAAATGGGTATTAAACTGTAATTTACTTACCCAATCTCTTATTTGGGGCACTAATATTAATTTGTATGTGTGCTCTTGGCATTGCAAATAATACTGTGGTAAACATATAGTTAATCCATTCAGGAACAGTATAGGAAGATTCTATGAAGTGAGTCCTTTGAGTAGCAGAGTGTATAGATCTTGTCATATTATTTTCATAAATGTTTAACAATAAACAAATTCACCACTCCACAACTTACTTTTTGTCTGTTGCATAAATAATGACAATACAATAGAATAATTATAACAACAATAAATGTGATTTTGGCCTTCACTGTATATTTAAGTAATGATGAAGTTGAACTCTTTTTCCTTTTTTGAGATTTGAATTACTCCTTTTATGACTATTATACCCTGTGGCTTAATGATCTAGGAAAATTTCCCCAGGATGAAATCTGGGCATCACCTTTGCCAGATCCACTTCTACTATTCGACAGCTGTGTCTCCCTGAGCTCTGATGCCTGCCTTTGGGTTCACTGAGACCTGTGGAATGTTGCTTATACTGTACTTAGAAAAAAGACACTACAGGGGCTGGTTTTTCCTGGCTATGCAATGTGAAGGTTCTACAACCACCCAGTGCCTCAGATACTTTCTATAAAATAGGAATATTAACTAAAACCATGCCTGAGTCTGATCTGAAGCTTTATTATTATATAAGGAAAATTTAAATCACTGCCTGGCACACTGGGAGAACTCAGTAAAGAATACAAATTCTGTGTGTGTGTGCGTGCACACCTGCGTGCACAGGAGCTTGAACTTAGAGCATTCTCCCTGAGCTTTTCACTCAAGGCTAGTGCTCCAAGAATACAAATTCTAATTGATGTTGGAACTTTGATACTTCTTGTCAGGACAACCAGATGATACAATCTTAGAAGGCAAGAGCTTCAAGGACCTTAGAAAAAGTACTTGATCTATTCAGACTCTGCTGGTTGTGGCTGTGAGCAGGAAAGAATTCACCTAAAGTCAGTCAGGGGCAGAGAAGACATGAAAAGCTGTTCTGCTGAGGTTGCACACAGATACAGAAGGCTAGCTTAACTGTCTGTCTTTAGAGGGAGTTCCCTGGTGGATGGAGTCGCCCAAGGGGTAGCACATGTGTATCTCTAGGTGTGCCTGGCTCACCTATAGCTTATTATATGAAAGACAAAAGAAGGCAGGGCCTCGTCCCATAAGTACAAGGATGTCATCTTCGGGACAAGTCAGCATTTTGGATAATCCTCTACTTGATCAAAGGCATCCAAAGGCTCTTGGAAGGAGGAAAAATGGCAAATCCTTCTGAGTCTGCATGGTCTATGAGGGTCAAAAAAGTCCAGCATTCCCACCAGGACCCCCAGGGACCCTTGTACCCATCCCAAGGTCTCAAGACTCCTGGCGGCAGCTCCATGGACAGACTCAAGTGTCCCCAGTGCAAGTCTGGCCCCTGGGGACTCTTCCAGCTTCCACCAGGTGGCACCTCAAGCGTCTCAAGTGCTCTTTCTTCCCTCTCAGGTGCTCCCAGGATGCAGTGGGGGGACACGTACTCTCAGAACTCTTCACCAACAGGAAGGAGAGCATTCCTCTCACGTTTTCTGAGGACTGTCTCTACCTAAATATTTATACTCCTGCTGACTTGACGAAGAACAGCAGGCTGCCGGTGAGCATGGCAACCACTGGGCAACACTGGCTACTGCCAGCATCTGGGGTCCCAAATGCAGGCTGGAAGGGGATGGAGACAGCCGGAGGTGGGAGCAATCCTGGGCAGGAGTGAGTCAGAGGCTCAGAGCTCCCAGACCACATCCCTTCCCACCCATGCAGCACACATCAGGAACTCACAGCATGAGTTTTCCACGATTTCTCACACTAAGAGGAGGACAAGAATGCTTAGCGATACTGAAATTAGATCTTAGTTTTAAGATTATGAACCCAATATCCAGAGCAGCTAAAGCATAACTTCCACTAACAAGACATTCTTTACATAAAGAGAAACTGAGGCTCAGACGGGAGTCACATAGTAGGTTTCTGATGTGCAAGCCTGTGTTCTTTGGTATGGACCACAGACCCATCACTGTTCTCTGCAATTCTCAATGCTGCACGAATAGAAGTAGTGCAAGTCAGGCCCTATCTGAGAAGCACTTTCCCTGCCTTTGGTCAATAATCTACAGTAGGTTTTGTAGCTCCCTTCTCCCCCTAACTGCCTTTGGCGCTGGCTGATGGCACAGTGACTCAGCGTTGTGATATAAATGTAATGCCAGAGGTCAGGCAGACTGCCAGTTGCAGGCCACATGGTAGTGTTCACCACAGGGTGATTGATGCTGGATCACTTTGGCAGGGAGCCCAGGTGTGGGCCAGGAGATTGTGAACCGGGGTTGGAAGCTGATCTTAAAGTACTTTGTGGTGCAAAGGGCATCATGGGGTTTTACTCATTTTGTCCCTTACTAATTAGTTCCTGTCTTGGTATTCAGAGCCCCTCAAACATAGTGAGATGTGGGGTCAGGAAGAGGAGGAGCCTGAGCCATCATCTGAGTCCTGCTTTGCCCACTGTGCTTTAGGGACATGTGGTAAATTTCATCAGCAGGTCAGGGGCCACCAGCCCTTGGGTTCCTCCCTCAGTGGAGATGTCCTTGACTCAGCCCTCCCTGGAGGTGGCAGGATCACAGGAGGGAAGAGAAATGGCAGTTTTGGGGTGGGAGGTGACAGATACTCCCAGTATGTACACAGCTTCTAGAAGTATGGAGTCTGGGTTTAAATTGTGGTCTATCATTAACTTGACAAGAGACTTGGACAACTTCCTAACTTCTTGGCCTGTTCCTTGAAATTGGTTTTTAGCACAGTCCTGGCTGAGCACACAAACAGCAGGTATGATGATGCACTAGTGAGAGCCACAGGATGAAGCTCCTGAGCTCTCAGCTGCTCACTGTGCAGGGGCCATGGCTAGACAGCTTGGGGTATGGATGTTGGCTCCAAATGGCTTGGGTCATGTCCTGTTATGGGATCTTGGGCAGACAAAGTTCTTTAGTTTCCTGTCTGTCATATGGAAAAATATTAGAACCTATTTCATGGATATATGACATCTAGTGCTTTAGTAACATTTTTGGTTCATAGTTCAAATTAAAATTCTCTTTTTATTAACAATTATTATGGTTATCACTTATTTCTTATCTGCTGTAAGAGCTGTTTAAGTTGAGAACCATGAATTATAAATTGTTGGGCTTCTGTCACCATGAAGTCCTCTCATGGCTCCTGGCAGTAAAGGCTCTCAGATAGCATTAGCTCAATGAATGAAGGTGTCCTGGAGGAGAGCCTGGGAGCTGGGGGAAGACATGGGTGTGCAAAGGAGGCAGAGGAGAGGCACATTAGGAAGTGGCGCCCTAAGGCACCGCTGGGTCTTGAAATAATCACTCACTTACTTAGAGGTTTTGAATTCACCACTGAGAACGAACTGAGGTGAAGCAGAATTGTACAGATCAGACTGTGTTTATTTATCTGGATGATGATCCAGATGTGAGCTGGTGGGAGTGTTGGATAGAACAAGAGATCCTTGACCTTATGTGTTCATGTGACAACCATCTCCGCTTGAGGAGCTTTGGGAGGACATGGCACTGAGGAAGGGGGAAGAGCAGGGGTTGTTGAATGGATGACAAGCTGGATCTGGCTCGGAGAGCTGGGGAGAAGAAAACATGCCTTGTGTTTGTTGTGTTGTCCATGTGATTGAGCCACAGCCCAATGCGGGAGACCAGTCTAGACAGCCTCTGCCTCCCTAAATCTGCCTGCTATGACCTCTGTACTGTCACAGGTGATGGTGTGGATCCATGGAGGAGGCCTGGTGGTGGGCGGAGCATCAACCTATGATGGACTGGCCCTCTCTGCCCATGAGAACGTGGTGGTGGTGACCATTCAGTACCGCCTGAGCATCTGGGGATTCTTCAGGTAGGTGTTGGACTCTTCTCTCTGCAATTTAGTCCCCACATTGGGCTTTATTTTTTTTTCTGATATTGTAAACAAAATGAGTATGATTGGGTAATAATAGGGAAAGCAAATTTGTTTAGGTTCAGAGTTGGGGAAAATGTAAGTGGTTTCATCAGATTGCTCTCTGGTGAAAGGCCCTTATGCGTGAAATAACGTGGTGTAGAATGAAAGGGAATCTACACATTGAGGTGCATCACACAATGTGGGTAGGAAGTCAGAGTGAGGGACAGACTTCTTCATTTTGTTTTCTTTTAAAAGTAACCACCTTGCTCTTCTTCAGGAACTAACCTGGTTCACATAAAACTCTACTAGTGTCTTCTACATAGAGCACCAATCCTCTTCACTGGCTGCACATGCAAAAGGCTTAGTGCTTAGTGCCGCCATGTTGGAGACCAGGACGCCAGCATGGAGCCCTTCATGGCCAACCAATCTTGTCCATCCCAGTCCATGCCAAGGCACCACTTTTCCTGCAGCTCACAGCAGCACTCACATTAATGTCCCATCACCCTGGCTCTCTGTCGCTGCTGCTTCCCTTCTGATTTACCTTCTCGGGTATTCACGAGATCCATGTGCACATGATATTCAGGGATTTCCCTGTCATGAGATCTGGGCCCCATTCCTGCTCTTTCTTCATCTGACTGTTGTTTTCCGGGAGCTGAGATATCTGTCTGTGTTTGGGCTCTGCAGTATGTGCAGCTTGCAGTTAGCCATTTTGCCTCTTTTTCTCCCAGATGTGTTCTAGCTTTCCTTAGACTGCTGTTCATGCATAGTGATCTCAGTATACAGCTGCTGGAAGAAAGAGCAGAGCCCTACACAGGTCAAGGATGCTGGAATGAGAGGCAGTGGAGAGACCTCTATGCCCAGCCTTACCCTGGAAGGCTCACTGAGAGCTGCAGCCCTCCTGTGATTCCAGGATTCCAGAATTCTGCTGTGACTAGGTCCTGCCCTACCTTTCATCCTGCAAGTCCTGTCCTGACAGCTGTATCGTACCCTACCTCATTCTCTTCCAGCACAGGGGATGAGCACAGCCGTGGGAACTGGGGTCACTTGGACCAGGTGGCTGCACTGCACTGGGTCCAGGACAACATCGCCAACTTTGGAGGGAACCCAGGCTCTGTGACCATCTTTGGAGAGTCAGCAGGAGGTGAAAGTGTGTCTGTGCTTGTAAGTGTTCCTCATACCAGATCTTTATAGCTCTGTTGAATCTCATAGAGACTAGCTCATCCATGGATGGGCGGTTTGCTTATAAAAGCTTAATTCAGGGGTAACTCTATTTACTACACAGCCTCTGATGGTATAGAGCCAAAGCCAAACTCTCCTTAACCCCCAGAAATCTCAGGCTTGAGCCTTCATCCTTGGCTCATAAGGATTTCCAGTACTGCCTGTGACAGTCACACTCTTGTCCTTCACTTAGTTGGCTTTGCTAATGTGAACACTAGAACCTCTCCATTATCATTTATCTAAGTACAAATCATCAGTAACTAAAATGCTAGAACTGAGTTTATCAAGCTGTCTTTTCAGTGCTTTGGTTTGTCATGATTACACTTGCCACATTCTTTCCGTTCTGTTCTAGCCAGGGGCACAGGCTTCCTCCCCTGACTTTCCCTTGGGGAGCATAGGCCTGGAGAAGCCCGGGACGCAGGTCAGGACAAAGGAGCAGCTGTGGTGTCATGCTTACAGAACATCAAGGTCTTCTGGGGAATGTCCAGGGCAGAGGAGCAGATAACAGGAGTCTCAAAGAAGAAAGTGGCTGCCCCTTTCCTGTGAACATGAAATATCCTCTTCTCTTCTCCCCTGCCAGGTGCTATCTCCCTTGGCCAAGAACCTCTTCCACAGGGCCATTGCTGAGAGTGGTGTGGCTCTCATGTCTGCACTGGTGAAGACCAAGAACATCAGGTCTATAGCTGAGGTAGGCCTCACCCTGGACAGCTCTGTTTCCTTGTCCTCCATGATCCTGACGTTCTCAAGAAACTTTCCTGTGAGATTCAGCTAGGATGCTCAAGGAGTCCCTGAAGAGAGAGTGGCTGAGCAGAAAGCTCCTTTAGGCTCACATCTAACTCATTCTGCACATTCTGAAGTAATTCTCGTTCTGTATGTTCACATTAACCATGGCAATCAAGCCTCCTGCAATAGCGCACATTTTAGCGTGTGGGACACAGTGGACGTCTAAGCACTACTCCACATGTGTTCAGTCCTAGTAGGATATGTTGGATCATCACCCTCATGTATGAGTGAGGAATCTGGACCACACAGTGTAGACTGCCTGCTTGAGGTCCATTGTTTAAGCAGTGGAGGGGGTTGAGTTTGAGAACAGTTGGAATCTGGGGCTTCATTTGAAATGGCTTCTTTTCAAGCATTCATCCTTGAGAATTTTTCCACATTTTTCACATTTTATCCTTGATGGTGCTTGGCACAGTCAACACAGACCCAGATGTTGCGTGACCTGCTCATGCCAAGATTCCCTTAGACACCTGTTGGGTTGCAGAGCCACACCCCTCCCTAGGATTTCTAGCTATCTCTGCCATCTTGGTGAACTTGGCTCACGAGAGGAACCCTATGTGTATGTTGATGGAAGGCAGAGCATTGCTTTTCACCTCTGTGGTTGCCTGTGATTTCCGCAGAAAGTTGCGATCACGGCTGGGTGCAAAACCACCACAACGGCCACCATGGTTCACTGCCTGCGCCAGAAGACAGAGGAGGAGCTCTTGGAGGTCACGCTGAAACTGGTAAGTGCCTCCTTCTTGGGCTCCACCCTATGTAACTGGGCCCACGCTTCATCCATTTACTGACCACTGGCTCCATTCTAGCTTGCACAGTGTCCACAGCTACATCTCAGGAACTGTGTCTGATTTCTGACCCAATTTGAGATTTGCAGTTTTTGTTCACTTTTGTTCACTTATATCATGATGGAAAATATCTAATAATCCTCCATCTTCATCAAAGGTTAATTTTTTATGTGCTTACCTTCAGATAAATTTAAGAAAGAAAGTTCTGCGCTCCCACATGAAACTATCTCCTTGAATTTACACAGTAATGATACTCAGGGCATGGATTTTCAGATAGATGGCCCAATTTATATTGTTTCATGTAGAAATTATCTGAATGGTAACATAGTTGTATGTTTCTGCAATTTCTGAAACACTGCAATAATTAGAATTATAGAAGAACTATGGGTCTATATACCCATTATCTATCATCGACACATTAACCTAAATCATTTTTCCAAACTCCTGTTCATTCATATCCTTTTATCAATCTAGTATAGATCCCTCCACAACTTCTGCTTATATATTTTTAGCCTTTCCTTCACCCACGAGTCATCTAGAAAACACAAATCTAGGGGCTGGGAAGGTGGCTCAGTGGTAGAGTGCTTGCCTTGCATGCATAAGGCCCTGGGTTTGATTCCTCAGCACCACATAAGTAAAAAGAAAATAGCCGGAAGTGGCGCTGTGGCTCAAGTGGTAGAGTGCTAGCCTTGAGCTGAAGAGCTGAGGGACAACACCCAGGCCCAGAGTTCAGGCCCCACAACTGGTCCCCCCCCCAAAAAAAAAGAAAAAAGAAAACACAAATCTATATTACTTCTCTAGATCTTCCAAAATCCATTATCTCTCCTTCAGCTATGGTAGTTATACCAGCTTATCCAACTCACCCGATTTATACCGTCTCTCCTTAGAAATCAAATCGTGCAAAATTTTCAACAGTAGTTTTTGGGAGAACAGTTGGGCTGACCCTGTCATGCTTTCTCCCTGTCATGGCATCTTCTAAACGCCAGTGTGGACAGGTGGTATAGGCAGATGCAGAGAGTTCATCTGCAGTATCCAGGCTGGGATCCCCAGTGTATTACCATGGCTGAGCAGAGGGATGGTGACACTGGGTTGCAGTATTCTCTCTGTTCAAGGCATGGTGACCTCAGGTCCTGTGTAGTTTCCTGCATTCAGTGATGGGGCAGGAAATGGCCACAGGAGGTCAGAGGGATGACCTCTCCTGCAGAACATTCCTTATTTCTTCTCAAGGCCTCCACAGCTGTGGCCATGATGTTCGCCTCATTCTACCTTTCTCTCAGAGGAAAGCTGAGCTGATGTTGCCAGGGTGACAAGTAAGGAAAAGTTTGAAGAGGAGAACAGGCTAAGACACAGACATCCTTTGCAGAGTTCCGGAGAGCCACTCTGCATCCAAGGACATGCCTCTCATTGGAGCTGCCAATCCTTTGTTCCCCTCCAAACTGTTGCCTGCCCAGAAGAGCCCATGTATCATCTCTTTTCACTGATTCTAGCTCAAAGGTCAGCCTGCTTATATCTGTCTCATTCTCTGTCTTTACAGAACCTGTTTAAGCTTGATTTTGTTGGAGACCCCAGAGAGGTAAGGACCTTAGCTTTCTTGATTATAGGTTTTGATTATTTTTTAATTAATTAATTAATTTTTATTGTGAAAATACCATACAGAGGAGATACAATTACATGGACAAGATAACTAGTACATTTCTTATCAAGCATTGTTGCCTCCTCTTTGTTTCCCCTTCCCATCCCTTCCCATACTCCCCTCCTCGTCCCTCCCAATCTCCCCCCTCTAAAGTTTACAACCAAAGTTGTAAAGTTCGTTTTTCGACATAACGACTTGTACATCCCTTTGTTGCAATGGGTCCACCTGTATCCCTATTTAAACGATTTGTTTTTTCCCTTCCCCTCCACAAATTATACCAACATTAACACTTTTAAGCTCCCACTAATTATAAATAAAGGATTAGTCTTTGTTGGTCTTACTATGTACATTATTGTATGCAATGTGTTTATTTCATATATTTTGTGGAGGGCAAGAGGGGAATAACTTGTTAGTTAACATAGGTAGGAACCCTAAATAGTATTACCAGTCCAGTCAGACATTAGCTCTCTGGTCTCTCTCTCTTTTGCTTCCTGTATTTAAAATGCATCTGCAGAAGGAGACTGCACTAGAACCATCTATGATGAAGCAGAAGCCATTGGCCCAGGGTCAGGGTGCTTCCCTGTGGAGAACAGATCTCTCAGAAGGTCACAGGGAAGATTGTTGGTACAGCAGGGAGATGAGGATTTCAATTCTGGGGCAAGCATCCTCCTAGAATCCATTCAACCCTTTCTCTCCTGCTCTCCTTCCTTGCACCTTCAGTGACTTGCCAGGATCTTGTGCTGTGAACTGTGCAGCATCTTACCATCCTATCCTCTCTGGCTTGCTCCTTGGAGATGCCTGTTTTCCCTTATAGAACTTGTAAGGATGAAATAAGATTCTTTCAGTCATCCCGCAATAGTGTATGAGGCCCTTACTATCTGATAGCAGCTGGGATATGGGAGTGAAACAACCTGATTCCCTGCTCCCTGGAACAGTCTCTCCCAGTTAGGTGGGTGGTTGGACAAGAAGTGCATAGAACAACACAAACAACATGTGTTATGTTTCTTGGAAGTCAGAAATGAGATTTTAATGAGACTGAAAATAAGGATAAAATGGGCTAGTAGATTCTACATGTAATTGTTTGTAAGAAATCTACATTATGTAACAGGTCCTTAAACAGGAGCACACACACACACACACACACACACACACACACACACACACACACACACACACACACACACACAGGTTCTTGAACCTAATGTGGATGTCCCCTGCAGCAATGGCTCAGTGTTTACTAATTCAGCATTTACTGAAATTCCACAGATATAACCACAAGGAAGAGGAAAAAGATGTAGTAGTGATACAGATGATAGATAGATAGGTAGGTAGGTAGGTAGGTAGGTAGATAGCTAGATGGATAGATTGACAGACAGACAGACAGACAGACAGACAGACAGACAGACAGACAGACAGACAGATAGATAGATAGATAGATAGATAGATAGATAGATAGATAGATAGATAGATAGATAGATAGATACAAAGGGACTTCAAAGTGAACCATGTACTCTATGTGCTATGTACTTTACTTTGCATGAATCCTCATGCTCCCCTTGTTTCAGTCATCATCATGTAACACCACCAGCTCTTGCCACAGTGCTGTCCTTGAGAACTCACAGACTTACATTCCACAGGATCCTGAGTTTCTGTGGCCACAAGCACAGGAGGCTGTGTGCTGTCTCTGCCTCCATGCAGAGAGGTGGATGGAGGTGTTGCCTGGGGCAGCATATTCACAGACTCCTCATTCATTTCTTCCCCAGAGCATTCCCTTCTTGCCCACTGTGGTTGATGGAGTGCTGTTGCCCAAGTCACCTGAAGCGATTCTGGCTGAGAAGAGTTTCAACACTGTTCCCTACATTGTGGGAATCAACAAGCAAGAGTTTGGCTGGATCATTCCAATGGTGAGGATGTACAGAACTGTTGACAGACTTCACCCCAGACACATTAGCCACCTCCCTCTAACTCTGCTCCCATCAGCTCATTTTTTTCTCTCTGTCTTCTGTGTCCAAGAGAGCGATCCTCATTGTCAAAAGTAGGTACTTCTTTTCTTTTTCTTTTTATGGCAGGTCCTAGGGCTGGAAATCTGGGGCTAGGCTCTGTCCTTGAACTTCTTTTGCTCAAGGCTATCATGCTACCACTCAAGCGAACAGTGTAACTTTCAGCTTTTTCAGATCAGTTCCTTGATTAGCATCTCATGGATTTTCCTGTCCTTGCTACCTTCAAAAGGTGTCCCCCAGATCTTGGCCTCCTAAGTAGCTAGGATTAAAGGCATGTGCCACCAGCACCAGGCAAAAGTAGATAATCCGATGGGAAGATTCTCTAGGTTGAACAACTATCCCCTAGATGGTGGTACTCTTTCATGAAAGGATTCTCATGCAGACATGAGAATTGTGCAGATGGAAAAGCCTAGGACATCCTGAAGGGGAAGGAGCTGGGATTCAATAGAGTCAGACTGGGGCGCAACAATGTCTACTAAACCTGGACTCACACATCTCTTAGACCCCCACAATGTCTGCACGAGCCCTCAAGTGTCTCCTTGCAAATATTCATGGATAGTTGTTTCTTTTATTTGCCAGTTCTGGAGCTTGAACATAGAACCTGCGTTTTGTCTATGAGCTTTTTTTTCCTCAAGGCTAGTCTACTATTTGAGCCACAGCTCCACTTCTGGCTATTTTTGATGGTTAATTAGAGAGAAGAGTCTCACAGACTTTCCTGCCTGGGCTGGCTTGAATCATGAAATCTTAGCTTCCTGAGTAGCTAGGATTATAGACTTAAGCAACTGGTACCTGGCAGGAGTTGCTTTTACGTGACTCAAAACTGGCTTCTCAAGCCGGGCGTCGGTGGCTCATGCCTGTAATCCTACTTATGCTGAGATCTGAAGATCATGGTTCAAAGCCAGCCCGGGCAGGAAAGTCTGTGAGACTCTTATCTTCAATAAACCACTAGAAAACCTAAAGTGATGCTGTGACTCAAGTGGTATAGCACTCACCTTGAGCTGAAGAGCCCAGGAACAGCACCTAGGACCAGAGTTCAAGCTCCTCGACAAAAACAAAAACAAAAAACCACAAAAACCCACAAAAAACTGGCTTCTCAAAATCATAGAAAGGCTTTCCTATCTTCATAAATAAACAAGTAAAGCAGTAGGGTAGGTTTTATTCAATATTATGATTACAATTAGAAAATTATGTAGTTCGAGAACATATTAACAGCTGGGGAAGATTCAAGGCTAGATGAGCTTTGAGTGGCACACACACACACACATACACACACACACACACACACACACACACACACACACACACACACACGCCCATACATATACCAATCGGAGAAGCAGATTTCTCTCTCTTCATGATCAGATATAGAGGTGTAATTGATGTTCACTCATGTTAGGCCTTTACCTTCTGGAGAACTGGAGAGGAGGCAAGAGTCATCTCCACAAATGTGTACATTTCAAACAGGTTAAAAAAGGTTACCAGAAAAATTTCCCTACAATATTGAGGAAAGAGTTTGGGGTAGAAGAGTGGTTGATAACTACCAGATTTGTAAGTAGCTAGTCTACAAGAGGATTGTGCATCTGCTTGTCCTGGGTTTTGCTCCTTCAAGTATTGAGCTCCTCACATGGGAATTTGAGAGGCTGGAGTCATCCTAGGACACAGCCTAGAGCCTCTGTGACCACTCTGGGGTTGGGTCAGGCCTCTGAGTCAGAAATGTGGACAGGATCAATATATCCTGGGAGCTGTGCAGTTCTCACTTCAGAGGGATTTCAGAGTTCATCAATGAATGCATCCATCATGGTTGATTTTTGGTTCCTTGGTCGCCTGAGTCTGTGGGTTGTACCCTGTGTCTTCTCTCCTTGGGCTCTTAGCTTCTAGACTACGATCAAATATTCCTTTGACGCTGACTGACCATTGTACCCTCTGCAAACACAACATTTTGCGATGCTCTCTTTCCACCCCTACAGTTTGTATATGTCAATCCATTGGTTTCATTGGTTTTGATTAAATTAAGGAAAGATGCATGCCCATGGAGACCCAACAGCAAAATTGCAACTTATTTTATTTTGTTCATTGACTTGCTTGAGTTTTCGGTATCAATTCTTCATGATTCACAAATATAAACCCATTTTTAACAGTTTGTAGGCTATCCACTGGAAGGTGAAATGGACAAGAAGAAGGCCTCATCACTGCTGTGGACATCTTACCCAATGCTGGTAAGATTGAAGGATTCATAGAATTGGTTGAGAAACAATGATGGGAGAGGGTTGCCTCAAGTACAGACTAATTATGGCAGAGAAAGAAAATACTGGCTCCTAAGGGTTCTGTCCTCGTTTCTCTGCTGTTCCTAGCTTATCCGTACAGTAGAATGAATCCATATACATTGCTTGTCAATGGGAAAATGCAGTGACCCAAGGACAAGAGGGAAAAGGTGTATCTGGAAAGCTGGCCATCTGAACAAGAGGTAGGCTCTCTCCCAGAGAGACCATGTTGCCTCAGGATTTCAGCATAAAGCTTCCATAAGGAGCTGAGGGGCGATGAGCACCTGGGCAGCACCAGGGGAGTTACACATTTTGAATGCTTGCCTTACTACACCTGAATGGATCTTATCTGCAGGTCATTGTGTGTCCTGAGTTCTATAAATCTAATTGATATGCATTGGCTAGAAAAAAATCTTAACACTTGCATTTTCTTTTCTTAGTACATTACTATTATACAAAAGATTTTAATTTTATATATTTTTATTGTAAAGATACTGTACAGAGGGGTTACAATTACATGAGTAAGGTAATGAGTACATTTCCTATTGAGCATTCTTACCTCCTCCTTTGTTTTTCCCCTACCATCCCTTCCCTCCCCACCACCCCAACTCCTTCCCCCCACAAAGTTGTAAAGTTTATTTTCAACACAGTGTCTTGTACATTTCATTGTTACAGTGGGTCAACCTGTATCTTTATTTCAGCATTTTGTTATTTCCTTCTCTTCCCCAAATTAGAAAAATGTATATACAAGATGCAGGGCACCAGAATCAAATACAGTGAAAGCAGGAGTTATACCATAGGGGAAGAACATACAAAAGAAACAAAAAAAAATCACATAGTACATTTTTAAAATACATTAAAAACAACAGCAAGAAAGATAAAACCACTTGTGTCCCTATCTTGGGGTTCATTTAGCTTAGAATCATCTTATATGGCCATATCTACTTAGCTTTTGACCTTTTGTGCTTGTCCTAGATATATATTAGTTATTGCAAATAAGGGAAAGCATGGGACTTATGTTTCTTTGGGCCTGACTTACTTCACTTAATGTATTTTCCCAAGGCTTTCCATTTCCTAACAAATGGGGCAGGGTCATTCTTTCTGATGGAGGCATAAAATTCATATATATAAATGAATATATATATGAATATATTATATACCACATTTTCTTGATCTATTCATCTACTGAGGGGCATCTGGGTTGGTTCCATATCTTAGCTAGGGTGAATAATGCTGTGATAAACATAGTTGTGTTGGTAGCTTTAGTATAGCCTTGTTTGTGATCATTTGGGTAAAGCCCAAAGTGGGATTGTTGGGTCTTAAGGGAGCTCTATGTGTAGTCTTTTCTTTTTATTTTGATTGGTCATGGGGCTGGAACTCTGGCCTGAGCGCTGTTCCTCAGCTCTTCAGCTCAAGGTCAGCACTCGACCACTTGAGCGGCAGCACCACTTCCAGCCTTTTCTGCTCATGTGGTGCTGAGGAATCGAACTCAGGGTCTCATGGATAAAAGGCAACACTCTACCACTGAGCCACCTTCCCAGCCGTATGTGTAGTCTTTTGAGGAACCTCCATACTGGTTTCCAAAGTGGCTGAACAAGTTTACATTCCCACCAACAATGCAGTAGGGTTCCCCCAGAAGATTCTTAATTGTCTATAGAAGCTACATTGTTCACTAGGTGTGTGGTCACTATCTTGGTCTCTCTCAGGACCTTTCTGAAGAGCTGATTTCAGCATCCATTGAGAAATATTTTGGAGGAACAGACGACCCTGTCAAAATGAAAGACCTACTACTTGACTTGATAGCAGATGTGATGTTTGGAGTTCCAGGTGTGATGGTATCCCGGAGCCACAGAGGTGAGTCCCGGGGGTTTTATAGGAGAAGGATGAGATCTTCCCAGCTTGGTGTTTGACCACACTCCTCTTGCCATAGACCCATGTGCAAACTGATGAGGGTCAGGACTCAAATGCTGATTTCCTATGGGTGCTCTCCTGTCTTGTTCTGCCACTAAAATCTCTGAGGAAAGGATCCAAATGCAAGTTATCAGTGTGAAGGTGATCCAGAAACACAATTAGAGATGAAGGTCAATCACTGAACATCATCAAACATGTGTCCACTCTGGATGGTTGGAGCTGGGAGATCTGGGAACCATCTCAGGGGTTTCCTGTCTGAGAATCAGGGACCTGGTAGTGATTCACCAACACACATCGGTTAAAGGCTTTCCAAAGGTATGGTTAATACCACAGTGTTTTGATCTTCTGCAGACATGGACAGAATAACTGCTAGTGGTCAAAAAAAATCCTAGGCAAAGAGCTATAGCTGGGAACCAAGTTCTATTAACAAATGACTAAGAGGCAGAGGCTAGACTTAACCTTTTGTTGAAGTTCTGCTTGACCCTGAAGTACCTTGGTTTTTGAGTGGAATTCAGTCACACAAGGATGGCTTCTAAAAATACAATAATAAAGGCAGACCTGGCAATTAAATAATTGATTGCTGATACTCTTGTTAGGATGATATATATGAAAGTCGATGAAGGGACATAAGGAGGTTGGAGAAGAACACAGAAAGTGAACAACTAAGATGCATTGTGTTCATAATGTACATGTTAAAATGAGACATCCTTGTACAAGCAATTAAAAGTAATAATTGAAAGTGACTTTAATGGCTGGACATAATGATGTAAAATCATGATAAAGTAGTGTATTAGATGTAGCATGCAGCTAGGTAGGCTTATGCCTGTAAATTTAGTTACTCAGCAGACTGAGATCTGGATAGGAAGTCCAGGCCAGCTCTGGATAGGAAGTCCATGAGACTCTTATCTCCAATTAACTACCAAAGGAGGGACATGGAGCCTGTGGTTCAAAGTGGCAGAGCACTAGCCTTAAGCACAAAAGCTTAGGAAGAGGGCTCAGGTCCTGAGTTCCAGCCCCAGGAGTTGTGCATACATGCCACGCCTCCCAACCCCCAAAAATCTATACAATTTTTTAGACATGAAAGACCTACATGCTAAAATACAGACGCTTTCTCTGAGTGGTGAGATTATTTGTGTGATTTTTTTTCCCTCTGGGTGTTTCAATTTCCCTACTATGCCCATTGGGGATGAATTGTCTAATGCCTCCCGCAGTCTGTCTTAGAGTGTCTCACTGGGCATCATGATCACTGCAGGTGTTGAGCTTCCTAGGCTGTGAGGACTGTGGTGGACCCATAAGGACAAGGGACGGGTGTCCAATGATCAATCTGCAGGAAAGAGGGCATTTGGGGGCTTGAACTGCAGGGCTCTGGTGGGGAGAGGAAGGCAGAGAAGAGACAAGAAAAGTCAGGAGGAGGCAGATCCACCCTGTTCTTGTCCCTTCTCCTGAGCCTATCGCCTTCACACCTCAAGGCCTGTAGACTGCTTACGCCAAGCAGGAAACAGACTATGTGAACTGACTGAATAAGAACCTTGAATGCGGTGAGGATTTTTGGTTGTTGTACCATCTCTGATTGCGTATATATGTAAATATATTGATTTTCAAACGAGCAGCTTGGAATTGCTTCTCCTCTTAATGGATGAGAAAGCACGAGAAATGTGCCAAACTATGCTGGATAGAAACTACCTGTTAGTTTATAGATATTCCTCAAATAAATAAGCCCTAGTATGTTGTGAAGGAGATACTCTCTGCATTAATTGTATTTGCTTATTTGTCATTTAATAGATTTCCATTTCAAATTCCATCTCATTTCTCTTAGCTCTGTAGCCCAGAGTCTCACTGTACTCTTTTGAAACCACTTCTGTTCCTTGCAAGTGGTAACCAGGGGTGTCCCATGGGGCTGACGATGTTGATTCCAGCCAAGGCTGTGTCTGGTAATGGGAACTGTGCATGAATTCATGTCTTCTCAGATGCGGGAGCCCCTACCTACATGTACGAGTTTCAGTATCGCCCAAGCTGCTCCTCAGACATGAAACCCAAGACGGTGATCGCAGACCATGGGGATGAGCTCTTCTCAGTGTTTGGGGCTCCGTTTTTGAAAGGTAATGGCTCTTTGCTGGCTATGAGCTTGGAGATGGGAGGGCTGGATTCGAAGCATAGTTGGAAGCAAGTTTCTTCCTGTTTCCTGGACTTTGTGTTCTGATTCAATAGGATCAGGCTGAGCTTCTGTGTCTTTTTTAATTAAGATTTTTATTGTGAAAATACTGTACAAAGGGGTTATAGTTACATGAGCAAGGTAATGAGTACATTTCTTATACAGCATTGTTGCTTTGTTTTTCCCCTACCATCCCTTCCCTCCCACCTCCTCAGCTACACCCCCACTCCCACCCTCCCCATTCCCGCCTAAATTGTAAAGTTCGTTTTTCGACTTAGCATCTTATACATCTCATTGTTGTGATGGGTCAATCTGCATCCCTATTTAAACAATTTGTTTTTTCCCTTCCCTCGCCACCATAAGCGAGGATGTGTTTATGTGCCCTAAGCCATGATCACTTTTGCATTTTGACCTGTGAACTCAGTAGACAGGTATTGGGTCACCTTCAGACTTTGTCCAGTGTAGAAGATCACTGCTTGATTTCCCACTCAGAGGAGACAACCAGAATGGGAAGGAGGGAAGGTTCGAATTGTTGCTAACATTGAATTGACTGCCATATTTATTCATCCCTCTGTCCATAGATCTAATATATATCTCATATATTCTTCCACCTCCATTTAATAATATGGTATTTGAAGAAAGCTTTTGCAGATGTCTTTAACAACTTAGCTTTGAGCAGGTGACATGACTTACAACCCTCCTCCTGGCTGTTCATGACTCACCAGGGCCTCTGGGTATCGCTCACCTGGACGGGTCCATATAACCTTTATAATTTTGGTATTTCTCACACTCTGTGAGGCTGCTAGTGTGTGATAGAATCTAAGAAAAGACCCAGGAAGGAATAATGCTGCAAATGAGAGGAAGTAGTGGGCTGTACATAAAAGTCCCAAGAGGCAGGTGGGTGAAGTTACAGGAAGAAAACTCAAGATGGCCTGTGTGTCCAAAACTGAGTTCCAGATGAGCCATTCTCAACCTAAAATGTGCACCAGAGAACCAGAATCATCTCCTGATGCAGGCGTTGACTCAGTCAGTGAAGGGTAATGACCCAGTCTCTATCTTTCTAACCAGCTGCCATGTGATACTGAGGCTGCTGGCCGATGGACCACACCATGAGCAGCAAAATGACTTCTCCTTCTTTCCTCCACAGAGGGTGCCACAGAAGAGGAGATCAACCTGAGCAAGATGGTGATGAAGTTCTGGGCCAACTTTGCTCGGACTGGGTGAGACTGATGGCCAAGATGTGGTTGAGATGGTGGGTGCAGTGTCATGGGAATTCTTGATGGGAAAGGGTGGTTCCTCAAGTTGACATACGCTAACTCCTGACCCGGGGTGCAACCACAGCACACGACCATGATAGCTCTCTAAAACTAAATAGCTTCCCTGGAAGATAGAGATTTCCCTGTTTGTGAAGTTATACAGGCCTCTGAAAATTTCAGAGATAACTCAGGGGACCCCTGAAAATATCAGAAGAATGTTGGGACCATGCAGGAGCTTTGTGGAATATCTTTTTTATTCTATTCTCAGGAACCCCAATGGGAAGGGACTGCCTCATTGGCCAGAGTACGATCAGAAGGAAGGTTACCTGCAGATTGGCGTTCCCACCCAGGCAGCCCAGGGGCTGAAAGACAAGGAAGTGGCTTTCTGGACCCAGCTCAGAGCCCAGGAGGCAGCAAAGAGGCCACCCCATGAAGAACACACTGAGCTGTGAACAGGAGGCCCAGTCAGCATGAGCAGACTGGAACAGCCAACACAGGCACTTTTGACAGAAGATGTTTGTAGGCCAAAGAGGCATCTTACTGTGGAGGCTGTGGTGGTGGTTGGCAGAGGCCATAGGGCTGATATTAGTGTCCATGACTTCAATTTGTTATATAAATGTTCTTTTGGAGACCACATCAGTGTCTGTGTCTTGAGCAGGGAGCATCGTAGGAATGTATCATCAACCATAGGAATATGGCCGTGTAGAGGGAGGCTTGGTGGATGAGCCCTGACACCTAAAAGAAGACAAGCACGTTGCAGAAGTGGGTGAAGCAGTGCTTCATCTTTCCTCTCTAGGTGGAAGACATCATCATATGCATAAAGGGAGTGATATGAATCTCATTAAAGTGATAAAAGCCACACATGGGCTAGTATGAGAGTCTAAAGTCCCTGAGAAGCAGAAAGCATCACAAGCTAGTCTGCAGGGATGGTTGTCAGGAGCCCATGAGAAAGTCAAGGGCAGTTTTGTACCATGAGAAACATGGTCCAGGCATAAAGCTCTGCTGCAGCAGGAAGACCTGCTGAGTCTTTTACCATTGGTGACACCACAACTAACCCCATCTTTCTCAGGGGCTTTGGTGAAGACTTCATGGCGTTGGACAAAAAGAGAAATTGTGAAATCTCTTCTTATGGGAGCTGGCTGAAAAAAATAACCTGGGCAGAAATCAGTAGAGGTCTTTATCTACTGGAGACAGCAAAAGGCGCCGAGAAAGCGCACAAACAAAGCACACACTTCCTGAATGTTTGTTTGAGGCTTACCAGAGTTACATAAACCACTCCTGGATGTCACCTTTGAGACTCAGGAATCAGGTAGCAAATTCCAGAACTCTGTGGGGAGAGAGTGAGAGCATGGGGAGAGGTGTGGGAGGGGCAGGTGCCCTGGCGTGCTAACGTGGAGGGAGGAACAGGACATAGAAAACCCTCCTGAAGCCAGCTGCCACCCATCACAGTGGACAAGCACAAGAGGAAGAGACACCAGAAGAACTTGAATCAGGTGGTGCAGGGTGGCAACAGCAAAACACAGGTCCTATTCCTATTCTATGCCAGGTTAATTCAAGTCTTGCGAGACTCACACACTCAAAGACACACACCACACACACACACACACACACACACACACCAACACACTTGGAAGTGGGGGTGGGGAGATGCCTTCATACTCTATCAGTTAAAAACAATAAAATCCATACTGATTTACATTTAAAATTTCTATTTCCTTCATTTTCTTGTCTCAGACATGTTATAGAAAATATTAATCACTAAATTGTACGATGGGTAGGGATGGGAAGGGGAAACAAAGGAGGAGGCAACAATGCTTGATAATAAATGTACTCATTACCTTGCCCATGTAATTGTAACCCCTCTGTATGGTATTTTCACAATAATAAAAAAAAGCAAGGTAGAAAACATTAATGCAATCCATAGAACTAAGTTCAGGACTAATCCAGGTATTAATTGCAACTGAGAATTTAACTATGAAGAAAATTTACATAAACATGTGGGTATTTTCACCAGACACATTAAAAAAAAGTATGAGAAAGAAGCAGAGATTACTGTTCTGAGAGTCAAAGGTCCCTGCATTTTCCTGACTGTGATCCTGCAGCTAGTGAAAGTCCACCAGCCCAACAGGAGTTATAACTTGAGAGCTAGTTTGGGCTGCGTGGAAAAGCAGCTGCTTTTTATAGCTGAACGAAATAGGATGCCAGTGAATGTGACACTTTCACTTTAATAATGGCAGCTGTGGTGAAGCAAGTGGTCTGGGGTGAGTAGGCCAGAAGCTAGGTAGTGGCAGGGGGTGAGGTGTAATGCTACACCTGTTCTTTCTTATAGGCTGACAGTTGTGACTCCATAGTGTTTTCCAGCTCCCTGACCCTGGAAGGCAAAGTAAAAGGTGCCCGGAATTCTGGGTGCACTGCAAACTAGCAACCAGCTCTGCCCAGGAAAGACTATACCACAGTAACTAAATCAGAGGCTGTTCTAGCTTTCTAGGGGAGGTTTTGCACTTGGCTCTGCTCACAAGCAACTCCTGCTGGTGGTGTGGAGAGCTACATCAAGAAAGGAAGAGAAAGTGGAGAACCACCATTTAACTTTGTCTAGAAAGGCTTAGTCCAAGATGTCCCAGGAAATAACATTTATATACATGTCTACAATATATCCAATCAACCACAAACCCAGCATCTTTTAATGGGAGAACAGGATCCATTAACATGCACAGAATCATTGATAGGTAAAGTTTTACGAAAGCCATTTTGTGTTTTCCAGTCATATTGTAGTTCTTTTGTGTCAAAATCCAAGCCATGGTTCTCAGCCATCAGGCATCCCAACTCCTTGCTTAACTCCTGTGTCCTTGTGTACCATCTGCCAGCTTCTCTCCCCTTGTTTTGAACACTAGATGGAGTGCTGGCATCCTGAAAGCTCCTCATGCTTGCTGGCATGGGAGGTCATCTGAGCACTGGCGGACCATGTATCTACTCCAGTTTTCCTAATTTGGCTTGCCCGTGCCTAGCTTTCCATAAATTCGAAGCTGGAGGCTTACTTTCTCAGGCCCTGAAATGACTTCTACAATTTTCTAGGAGTCTGTTGTTGGCATGTTGTCATCTTTTTGGTACTGGAGGCAAACAAATGCATTGGTTCATCCCAAGTACATTTTTGGTGTATTGCTCAGAAAGAAACTTGTAGAAAACTAAAGCTAGATCCTTATATATCACCCTGCACCAGAATCAACTCCAAATGGATCAAAGACCTCAGAGTCAAAGCAGACACTCTGAAAACATTACAGGATGTAATAGGAGAAACCCTAGTACTCCTTGGCACAGGCCGACATTTTCTTAAAAGAGACCCAAAATCTCAACAAATCAAAGAAAGGTTGGACAAATGGGACTGCATGAAATTGCAGAGCTTCTGCATGGCAAAGGACATAGCTAGCAAGATCAATAGAAAGCCCACGGATTGGGAGAAGATCTTCACTAGCCATACAACGGACAAAGGTCTCACATCATAAAATATCCTTGGAACTCAAAAAATTAAATTAAATCCCCCAACAACAATTGCCCAATAAATAAGTGGTCTAAAGACTTAAAGAGAAACTTCTCTGAAGAGGAAAGAAGGATGGCCAATAGACGCATGAAGAAATGCTCAACCTTCCTAGCTATAAAAGAAATGCAAATCAAAACAACATTGAGATACCACCTCACCCCAGTTAGAATGGCTATAATCAAGAACTCTAATAACAACAGATGCTGGAGGGTGTGGACAGAAGGGAACTTTACTGCATTGTTGGTGGGAAGGTAAACTTGTTCAACCACTTTGAAAAGCAGTATGGAGGTTCCTCAAAAGACTTCACATAGAGCTACCCTATAACCCAGCAATCCCACTTTGGGGCATTTATCCAAATGTTCACAAACAAGACCATACTAAAGCTACCAGCACAACTATGTTTACTGCAGCATTATTTACCATAGCTAAGATATGGAACCAACCCAGATGCCCCTCAGTAGATGAATGGATCAAGAAAATGTGGTATATATACACAATGGAATTCTATACTTCCATCAAAAAGAATGGCATTGCCCCATTTGTTAGGAAATGGAAAGACTTGGAAAAAATTATATTAAGTGAAGTAAGCCAGGCCCAAAGAAACATAGGTCCCATGGTTTCCCTTATTTGCAATAACTAGTATATGTCTGAGACAAGCAGAAAAGGTCAGATAAGTTGATGTTAGGCGAAATGAACCCCAAGATAAGGATTCAAATGTTTTTTCTTTCTTGCAATTGGTTCTAACATATTTATAAGATGATTTCTTTGTTGCTTTGTATGTCCCTCCCCCATGGTATAACCCCTGCTTTCACTGTATTTAATGTTGGTATAATTTGGGGAGGGGAAGGGAAAAACAAATTATTTAAATAGGGATAAAAGTGGACCCATTGCAACAATGAGGTGTACAAGACGTTATGTTGAAAAATGAACTTTACAACTTTGGCGGGGGGGGGGGGGGGGGAGAAGGGCGGGAGTTGGGAAGGAAGGAGAAGGGGAAACAAAGGAAGAGGCAACAATGCTTGATGAAATGTACTCATTACCTTGCTCATGTAATTGTAAGCCCTCTGTAAGGTATTTTCACAATAAAAAATTGATTCTGGAAAAAAAAAAGAAATTAAGCTTAAATAAAAAAAGAAAGAAAGAAATTCCTATGCTGTGTGTGCATTCATTTTCTCAAGCAATTCTGGTCAAAAACTTTTGGGCTAACTACATTAGGCTCTACCTGTGAATTTCCTGATGTCCATCAGGAGGCAGCACACCCAGAGGAAACAGGCTTCTCTCCTGCAAGAAAAGATACAAAAGGTAGAAGTTGACTTCCAAATCTGAGAGCCTAGGACTATGGAGTACAAGGTAAGTTGCAAGACGTTTCTTAAAGATGTCAGCCGGACAGCTTTGAAATTGTGAGATGCTTGTAAACATTCCGTCTTTTGCTGCGAACCCCAAGACTGAAGCTTTGCCCTATTTGAAAGTGTCAGCTGGGTCTATGTGTCTTTCTGAATGTCACCATGTGCTGAAGTTTTGAAAGCTTCCGGTAAGAAGTTGTGGAAGCAGATTGTAGCCCTCTGAGTTGGATACGGACTGTTAGGAGAAGTAGCACACGGTGTGGGTGTGCCTTAGATTACCCAATAGACACTCAGGGAGTTCTTTAGCTTAGTGACTGGACGGAGTGGATAAGAATTCCAGGGCAGGACTCCGGCTCTGGGGCATGGCCGTGCATTCCCTTCCAGCAGCAGGGACTCCACTGGCACCAGAGCTGTCCTTCCACAATGTGGCCCTGGGTTCTGATCCTGGCCTCTCTCACTGCTTCCACAGCTTCGGGTGAGTTCTTCTGGAATTTACATGGTGAAGGGCATATCCAGAAACCCTTGTCCTGGGCACACATAGGTGAAGATGCAAGCAGAGCAAGACCAATACAGGATTTAGTTATTTTCTCAGTAGCGTTCAGTCTCTGCACTAGGCTTTTGCCTGGGAACATCTGAGCCCATCCAGCTTCAGTGTCACAGAGGCACAGGAGAGGATGAACATCCGGAGACCCTAAGCATAAGGAGTCAGTGCAACAACCTCATGCTTCAATGTGAAGAATCAAGAGATCTCACTGT